GTCGAGTTGAGCCATCCTCTGTGTGTATGTATGTATGTATGTATGTATGTGTGTGTGTGTGTGTGTGTCGGAAAGATGCCACGCTCTCTCTCCGAAATAAATATCACAAGTCAGCCGAACCGAATGCGGAGGATGGAAGAAAGAAAATGAACACGCAAGGTGTTCATCAAAAGCGTTTTCAAGGGCGTGATTTAGACTAAATTACGTAGCTTTGTTTCCAAAGAGCGAACAATTAAGTGAGAAAACGGCTTCAAAGTCTGAGAGAGGTTAAATTCTGCTTTAATGACTGCATGATTAGAGAGGTTTACTACCCACTTCCAGCACCTGGGGGAATTAAAGATTGAGAGAAAGAAAAAAAAAACACTTGATTGTGGAGGAGACGAGAAGTCAGCAGGGGAAGAGTTCTGATACTGAGCAGGTGTGTGTGTGTGTGCGTCTAAGTGTGCCAGCAGACACGCAGCGAATGTGAAAGAGAGAGTGAGAGGGCATGCTTCATTCATGCCCATTCATACTTCCATTTGCATAATCAGTCTCTCACTGCACTTTGGGAGTGACGGTCCTGGAATGCGACTGTCGCAACTCTCCCTTCCCGTCACTGAGCTGCGGTTTCCCTGCACTGGCGGCAAGAACGCGCCATCTGCCAAAACTCTCTAAATAACCCCTGATAAAACGCCTCCACATTTAACAGGAAACTCAGAGGGGGAAATCAAATGCATGACTAAGTGGGAAATGCTCATGATATGGGCTTTCTCGTGCTTACTGTTCTGAAAAATGAAAATGCCAACTATTCTGTCAAGTAAATCTTTCAATGTGAAAACACAATTATAATAGGGCTATAAATGTAAAATTAATTTAGTACAGATAAGTAAAAAATCTTGCACATATTTACATTGAGCAACAACTTAAAAATAGTGGAGACGAAATGCAAAAGCTCATCCTGTAGTGAAATCTACCTCAGACGGATAGACAAGGTTGATTGTAAAATAGATTTTTGTGGTCTATATGTCAACGATAGACTTATGTTCAATATAACGGAAATAAAACAAGCAACATATTGACTTCTAAAGCCCTTTTGTGCATTTAATGTTTTCATCTGCTGTATTAGTGTATAAAAGTGACCTACATTTTTGCGTTTTCTCATCAAATATTGATTATTTGTGATTCATTGGATTTATTCATCAGTGTATCATGTAAAAATTCATTTTTAATCAGTTGAAGGCTCAAATGTTGAGTCAATTTAAAGGCATTTACTCACTTTCTACACTTGTTTACAAAGTCTTATGCCATTTCGTCCTTAAATCAATCCACCCAATCATTCAGCGTCACTCCTGACAATTACGTCCAGACATTTTTATCAGTATATAAGTAATCATGATAGCTCATGAAGCCAACTCAACACCTAAGCTTACACTTTGGACCCGTATACTACAGATCAGCAAACTCAAGCCTTGTTTACCAAGCGGCCAAACTCTTTTGAACTCTCCGAACTAGATCTCAGACAAGCGCAACACTATTTTTTTTTCACCACAGAATATTAAAAGACAGTGCATGTGGACCTTAGACAGCTTGACAGAACATAATGGCTAGGTAGATTTTACGCTTAATTATAAGTGTGTGTCTGAGCAAGGGACAGAGTACATCCTGTCTTTCGGTTTCTTCCGGCTGCTGACTGAAAGCACCATACAGTCATGCACTCACAAACACTTATACACACACATATATATATATGTCGAGGGAGGTTGAGTAACTACACAGTCTGTGACCTTCCCTCAGCAAGCAGCAGAGAAAGAGGAAGTTCCTTCACCCCACCCAGAGACAGAGAGAGTGAGACTGCCAGACTACTTTTCACTGATGAGGAACAGAAAGATCTGTAAATAACTCAGCAAAAAAACTAAACAGCTCTGTCACAATCACACAGAATATGCATCCCAGACAGCAACACAGCATATATAGGCAAAACAAACTCAAGCTGTCACGTCACGTGCATTTGAAATCCACAGGCCAGATGTATGCTAGTTATGCAAGGTTGCAAATGCATATTATCTATATTTTTTTTGAAAGAAATTAATACTTTTATTCAGCAAGGATGCATTAAACTGACCAAAAGTGACGGTCTAAAATCTATTTTAAATAAATGCTATTCTTTTAAACATTCTATTCATCGAAGAATCCTTAAAGAAATGATCACTGTTTCCACAAAAATGTTAACAGCACAATCGATTTCAAAATTGATAATAATAAGAAATGTTTCTAAAGCACCTAATCAGCATATTAGAATGATTTCTGAAAGATTATGTGACACTGAAGACTGGAGTAATGGCTGCTAAAAATTCAGCTTTGCCATCACAGGAATAAATTGCATTTTACAATAGATTAAAATAGAAAACAGTTATTTGAAATTGCAAAAATATTTCACATTACTGTTTTTACTGAATTTTTTTTTCAAAAACATTGAAAATTCCGACCCCACTGACACAATCAAACTAGCGTATTGAAAAGTATTTGCATAGAGTTGGATCGATTACATTTCAGGCCTCAGTCTTATTCTACAAACATCTTAGTGGCAGATGAAATTGTGTGGAAGCCATTATGAAGTCATCAATATCAAATCGCCGACTCTTCCTGGCAAAGGAGTGACCAGGCGGGCGGGCGAATGTAAAAATAAACCGAATCTCCCTCTCTCTAGATGGATATACAGATATATTCCACTTCCGTTTCCAGACGTTTTGAGAGTGTTCCCTCTTGTGTGTGGTGAGAGGCAGGAAAGCTCTTGAGAGGAATAAAAGCCTGCTGTGGGGGGTCTGATAACGTGATCATGCAGAGAGCTCCGGGACATTTTGGTCTCACTTGAGACCGAGGGAAACAGCTCGATGTTAATGAGGCAACGTCATTCACCGTAAGGACCCATTCAATCGGCAAACCACTTATGACACACATCGTCAGTGCAAAAAGAGACAGAAAACTGCAAATGTGTGTAAACACAATGAAGCGCGGGCCTAGGTTTACATTCTCTCATTCTATTCATACAAGGAAAGTAAGTGGGTGAGAGCTGGTGGGTGGGGGAGGTGGTGGAGGGCTGATCACAGAGAGATGGGAGGGAGGAGATGTTGGTGAATGCACCTCTTTGTTGGTTCATATTCCGTTTCCACCACAATACTCCAATTCCTGCATCATCAGCTCCATTCATGGAAAACAGTTAATGCAAATGGCCAGGCCTGCCATTCACTGAGTGTTTATGTGTGTGTGTGTGTGTGTGTGTGTGTGTATTGGGGGGGGGTGTGTGTGTGTGTGTGTGTGTGTGTGTATTGGAGGGGGGCACACTACTAAAAAACTTTTCCTCTAAACCTCTACCTCACAAACAGGAACCTGTCTGGTGCAAGAGTCAAGCATTAGAGCCCCAAGGGTAAGAAGAGCCACCACACATGCGAGTAACCCGAGACTGGAGACAACCCAATGCAGATAAACATAAAACAATCGGCCTGAGACTGCTTTATCGGATTATTCCTTCTAAAAATAACCCGAAATTAACTTTATGATGCATATTTAAGCAGCAAACTTGGTTGGAGTGCAGCTCGGAGAGCATGTTTTTCCCTCAGCAGTATTGTGATTAAACCCTGAATGGCCCGATCATTAAAAACACATCCACTGTCAAGTACCTGTGATAGCTAAATGACCCATTTTGGAATTACCATAACATGACGCCATTGCCGTGGGACATGTGGAAGTCATGCTGGGCTTGAGAGAGACAGATGGAGTAAAGAGATGATAAAAAACAAGCACTAGACAGAGAGAGAGAGAGAGAGAGAGAGATGAGGACTAAGCGCCCTGGCCTTTAATGGCTCTAAATGATTGTTTGTTTACACACTCAGTACTGTATCTACAGTAAAGGCCAACGGGACAGAGGTCATGACACTGAGGGTTAGTTACTGGTCAATTAAATGCAGCATGTGGACAAGCAGAAATCACCTAGAAATGCTATCTGTGATTTTTTGCATCGGTCTGCTCAAGTTAAATATTTCATGCCATTAAATTTAGGCCACTGTGACGGCTACTCTATCTCAACGTCCGCCCACAGATTCCACATCTCACCCCTCTCCCGGATATCAGGTTGTAACATTTGGACTGGGAAACCAATATCGTGATAGTCTCTGGAGTCTGAAGACTGGGTCACCAAAGAACTGACACTCTTGGCCCTTTTCCAAGCACTCGTCTAAGGAGGGAAGCTGATGCTACTTGGAATATGCCAGCGCAAAACCTAAGACATACAAATTTCACCCTGGTGGTGTGGCTTAGCGGTTTAAACATCTCGTCTGCCAACTTTAAGACTGTTGCTTCAATACCAGCAGAGGTGATTCATGGACATCGCCACAGTGCCCCAGAGCACTTAACCTCAGGTTGTGCCAAGGGGACTGTCCCTATAAGAAGTGCACTGTACGTCTACCAAATAACTACTTACTGCTGAGTCTGAAGTTTGCGTCATCAAGAACTGACACCCTTGGCCTATCTCCAAGCATTCATCTGAAGACAACTATGGCAAGCCATTTTAACAATATCTATTTTTATGCATCTGATACTTATATTTGGATTACTGTAAATCATTAAAATTGATATCAATAGATCATGAATAGTTAGTAAAACTGAAATAGGTGCCAGTAAGAATGGAAAAACATACTGGTTGGAAGTGAATAGTTGGTATCTGAAGCAAAGATGCAAAATTGTTTGCCACTATACTAGTTTGCAATGAATTACTTGATACTTAGGACTAATCTATAGTTACTACAGAATATGTTTGTAATGAGAAGTTATTAATGAAATTGGAAAAGATGGTTATTAGATGGTTATTAGCTATATTATTGGCTATACTAGGCAGCAACTAGTAACACAAAAACGAGTTAGTTTAAAGAGATTAAACGGCTTGTCATGGACATCTGAAATTTGCAGTACACTAGAACAAAACTTAAACAGTTCATCCTGATGCAGAATGTAAAAAACTAGCTCACCCGTGATGCTTTCCGCTTGTATTTATTGGCGAAATCAAATTTCTCCTTTATGTCATCCAGGAGCTGCTCCAGACGCGCTTTCTCCTCTTTCCCCGTGTAATCCGGGCTCAGGAGGACATACGCCCTCCAGTTGGCCGAGTCAAAGCCCCAATGGCAAGTCCTGTTCTCCAGCGATTTGTGACTGTGCACCACGAATTTCTGGGTCGGGTACATGAGCATGCAGTCCATGCACTGGATGCAGGGCGCGTTGGGACTCGTGTAGAGCTCCGGGACCAGCAGACCCTTACACTTCCCGAAGCACTCGTGATAGATCTTGAAGCTGTTCTCGGTGAGTTCCAGCTCGATGGAGCCGTACAGCTCCTTCTTGGAATGCGGCGGGTACGTCCCCCCATAGATGAGCGCGTTTCCTAGGCGCTCCGCGTCTGTCTTGGTGATGAGTCCGCAGGAGGGCGCGGAGAACGGCAGGATGCCCATCACCTTCAGGATCTCCAGCTGGTCGGCGGTGCAGCGCGAGCAGTAGATGTGCAGGTCGTCGCACACCGAGTTGATCTGCTGGAGCGAGAAATCCCGCAGCACCGTGTTGAGGATCTGCGGCAGGCACAGGCGCTTTTCGCCGCCCACCACGAAGCACGAGATCGTCTCGCCCTCCAGGACCGTCTCGCACCTCTCGGTGGAGCGGTCAGACGGGATGAAGAGCGGCCCGGGCATCACCGGAGGAGGCTGCATGGGGGGGAGGTGCAGCACGGGCTCCGGGACGTCTTTGCCGTCCTTCTTGAAGAGTAGGTCGTGTTGCCATCTGGCCGAGAAAGCGGCCGGTCCTCCGAGAGAGCTGATGGAGCTCAGGTGAAACTGTTTGAGAGTTTGTTGCAGTCCCGGGTGAGGCTGGAAACTCTGTCGCGCTACTGTTTCCATGTTTCGCGCACAGCGTTGTCGTTGAAACCGAGCGTCTGGCGAGAAATACGACTCAAAGGTCCTGGTTCCGCGTCTCTAAATCCAAGTCTGTGAACACAAGCACAAGAAGGCCGACAGGGCTTCATCAAATCCCCACTCAGACGAAGGTTTCCACTGGCGTGTCTTCTTCCCCTGCAGCGGGCTCTCTCCTGTCCATATCCACAGACAGACGCGTACAGAAAACTAAAGTGTAACACAAGCAAAAGCACGCAAGATGCAGCAAAACTATCCCACGGGGGAGCCGAAATTGTCCCACGTCAAATTCAGGAGTCAAATACACAATCCGCCAACTTTAAATCCGTATTTTTCCCTGAGAGTAGAGATCGCTGCAGCCGGACACGGCGCGTCGCCTCCGCTCCTCTGCCCCTGCAGTTCAGTGTGACTGAGTCAGTGAGCACACAGCCTCTCTCTCTCTCTCTCTGTCTATCTCTCGCTCAGTGTTTGTGTGTGTCTGGCTCAGTCATTGAATCCCAGCCAAGAATGTGACTGACTCTGCAGGCTGTGGCTCTTCCAAGAAGCAGCCTTCACTCCCCACTGCTGTAGACAGTCACTGTACTTAAAATATCACTTTACTTTACTATAACTTTTTTTTTTACTTTTTGTTTATTAAGGTCTTATTTGTAAACTTCATATAAATGTATCACATCATTATTCTATTATTTAATTTATTAACTGACTTATTAAATGTTATTTATTCAAATTAAATGACAGCTTTACAGGCATGATTGCCATCATTTACAATACTGCCAAAGCCTACACAGTTCTTAAAATGTTAAAAAAGACAACACAAAAAATAAATAGGCGAGTTAATAATATTGAATAATACATATTATATATATATACATACACACACACACACACACACACACACATATATATATATATATATATATATATGAATAATAATACATAATGCAGATGTATAGGTTTTGCCATAGGTATATTAAATTGAAAATTAAGATCCATCATTATGGTATATCAGCATCTTTGTTTCCATCCATTTTGTTATTTCAATTCTACGCATTTCTGGAGTTTCAGCTAATTTTTCTTCATCAGTAATTACATTTAAATTCAAAACACACATCACAGGTTTTCACTGTGGCACCACTTTTATTTTACCTAAAAACTAAAGCTGTACATTTGTGCAGTGAACATTTTAAATGAAAGTCACAGGGTGAGGAAATAAGAGCATTTTGCAGGCAGGCTGGGCAGTATGTTGAATCAGTGGGTTGATGGGTGGAGTCTGAAACAGACACTCTAATTTAGACTGACTGCGGTCTGAGTTTGTAAGCTTTGGTTTTCCTGAGACTTAGACTGAAATGAGTACAGCAGACTGAACTGGGAAAATACTGCGACTACATGACTAATAAACACAAATATGTTGTTTCACAATATTTGTATGATATGACAAACCAACTGTAATGTTTTGTCACTAATATCAAACAACTGGGTCAAGCACATCAAGCAATAATAATATTACTCATTACATCATCATTCTCCTAATAATTATCATGTTTTCAAAGTAAATGGATGTTAATTATATAAAACAATATTCAGTGCCACTATTACAACATCTTGGGTTTATGTCACACAGACATCCAACAATATTAATCCACCCCCTTTCTGTGAATAATACTGTGACCTATATATTTACCTCTTATTTTAATGTATGTATATCTATGGATGTTATGTCTGTAGACGGTAATGGGCCATATATCATTCACATTTCCTGTCACACTACAGCGCTGTACATATGCCAATGATTTATTCATAATTCTATTTAGATTGAGTCCAACGGCAAGCATGTGGTCAATGTAATCTGTTGCAGTAGCTCCCTCTAGCTCCAAGGAGATGTTACTGCAGGTAGATCACAATGGGACAAATGGCTTTGATGCATTGCATCAATTCACCAAATTCAACCATTTGTAGAAAAGGTGCAAAATTATAATTTACAAAAGTGCCTCTGAAATATAACACAAGAATGCACAGGTTAAAAACCTTCAAACTTCAGTGTAAAACGGAGCTACTGGAAAATTAATCTCACATGTCCTGCTATTAAAACAAGATTCAATAAAACTGTATAACGTGAATAAATTATGCTTTATCTGCATTCACTTTGAACTAAATGTGTTACCAGTTCTTAATTCAAATACATTGAAATGGTGTAGAAACAATTTTCACAATTAATTACAAAAACAGCACTGAAATAGTATTTTCTTGTAAAACATACTCCAATAATCTTTTATGTTAATGTTAAATGTTTTATTTACAACTTCAAAAGATAACTTTTTACACTGTAGCTTTAGTTTTTCCTTCAAAGTCTATATGCGATCTGATCTTACATCATGTTGATAATGTGATGAGAGAAGGGAATTTCTTTTTAAGATTTCTTTTTAGATTCCTTCTTTCTAAAGTTTTTTTTGGATTTGCGTCATGGATTTTGGAAAAGCCCTGCAAGCTTGACTAAAATATGATCATTAAGTCTCAGCTGTCTATCACATTTTTGCACAAATATGGAAATATATTCAAATGGAAGGCGTGAACACGAACTGCTGACCGAAACTCTTTTTGGAGTTTTTTTTTTTTTGGCGTTCTGTTTCAAAATGCCAAATATTACTCATTCATCATAACAGATCAAAAAATGAATAACATAAACTTGTTTTTTCATCCCATTAAGGCTGCTCGCTTTAGACATTTCAGTATTTGAATAATATTCCTTTTTGTTGGCTACCAAAACTAGTTAGAATCAGAGCAGCACATACAAGCTTTATTTAGACAGCCGTAAATAGCAGATGAGTAGGGAAAAAAATATATATATATTTATGATCCTGAGAAAGAAACCCATTTCGTGACTATAACAACAGGTTTGTACAAGCCAGACCCCTAAAATTCAAATGCATTGGGATTGGTTGTCTTTTGTGTAGGCGTCATGACAGTAATGTCTGCAGTAATTACATGGCAGAAGAGTCAATTACCTATTTAAATTTATGCAGTGACAATTTAAATGGCAGACGCATTATGAATGTTTGCTTTCATGCACTGGTAACAGTGTGGGAATCAGTGAATCAGACTTGCTAATTCATTTATTTAAAAAAAAAAAATCCAACACACTTGTTTATTCTGAAAGAGATGGACAAAAATGGAACAAAAAGGTGTGAATAATAATATTTGATTTGGTAGGTTGCAATTAAAAGGTTATGAACTGCACTGAGAGCGGTTTAAGAGAGATTTGGTGTGTGGTTGTTGTTGACAGCCAGTTTTCTCTGCCCAAGCTACACCACCACCCTCTTAACAAACAGGATCAAAATATATCTGGTAGGCTCAGATAAGAAGAAACCAAAGATAAGTGCTGCATTACTGCCATTTATTCAGCAAGAATTATATGCAGTGATACATGCTGATGTTTTGTAAACACACACATTAGTTGTGGGCATAAGTCTCTCTTTCTCAGCACTGTCAGTGCAACCTGTGCCAGCTGTCTGACAAGTCAAAGAGCCGTCAGAGCCGTGACCTTTTTGAGAAAGGGCAGACATGTGGCTTAATCATTCTGGTGAGAGGCCGTGCCCACATCTCTCCCTGGAGGAGACGCAAATCCTCCGGTTACATGCTGGCAGCTTGGCAGGGGCAGAGGTTTGGTAACAGATACTGGCTGAGAAGATCTCTGTCAGACTCGTTTTGTGAACAGTGTCTTAAAGGTGATGTCTGTCTTTTTTGTAAAATTTAGATAATGCTTCCTACTTAATATGCAACTTTAGGTAAGCAAATTGTGTGGCTTTGTGGTGCTTTCAAAACATTGCTCAAATTGCTAATGGCACCAACGCTGAGTTTGGTGGTGTGAAAAATTATGTAATGACGTCACTATAAGTGATGACGTAAAAAGAACCAATGAATCTGTTATTTGAGAATGATTCATTGAAACAAATCATTCAAAACAGCCAATTCATGTTAACGATTCAGACTTCTCATTGCTATTTTGAGCCGTCTGCCACAGCAACAAGGCACAAACAATGGCCAACCAATAGACTTTAGTCAGGTTAGATGACATATTGAATATAACGCAGATGAAAATGAGGCTGAGAGTGATAGACTTACAGTCTTTACAATGACATCCACTGTATAAAGGTCATAGGTCACATAATTTGCACAACACAGCTTTCAAAACTGTGTTATGGAGTTTTTTTTAAATACCTCATTTAGACAAGTTCCTTATGTATGTAAGCACACTTGCCAATTAATCGAATTCTGATTTTTTTTAAAGATGTTTCGTCAGCTAAACAATCAGCATGTCTATGGCAGAAAAGGAGAGTGTTTAGAAAACCTAAATACAGTTCATTGTGCTCTTCCAAAACTATTCTCAAACTTTAAGAGAACTTGTTTTTCTTGCAGCATTAAGATTAATATAATAGTATCACAGCAGTGGTAAGCAGTGCCAATAGCCCAACAGCAAATCAAATTTATGTGCAAAGCAAGTTGGCATAATTCTCACAAATGACAATTCATACCGATACATTGCATGGCATAATTAAAATCGCATTGAGAAAAAAAAAAGAAAAGAAAAAAAGGCATAGCCTGTACCTTCTCCCCATCTCCCCGCAAACATCACATAAATGTTTACAGATTTGTCATATCATCACTAAAAGATATTGAAAAAGAGACCTCTGAGAATTCCCAAATTGGATTTTCAGGGGATCTCTTGTGACATTCAGGGAATTTCAGTTTTCTGACAAAAACAGCTAGACCGGACTGAAGATCTTCTCCAGCACATTAGCCATTCTTTAATCTCCTCTCTCTCTTTCCTATTCTCCTTTTGCCACCTCACACGTTTTCCACAGTGCATTGAGAAAGTTTGCTTTTGGAAGGACTTGGGTAGCGCCCGCTATTTTTACATTTTTCATCATTCATCAGGCAACCATGGCGACGGCTCACAACATTGCCTCACACAAGTCCTAATGACATAAGCGCTCTTTCCTGGATGCTGTCTCCCCGGCTCCATCCCTGAACAGACTTACTTAAAACTCATCTGCTATTGTACTCTCTCACTGTGTGGCTATGGAACCATTAGTGTCAGCATTAGAACTTTCTGGAATTCTCATCCAGAGGAGAGAGATGGTTCCAAACCTTGCCTCAGCCTCTCCAGAGCTCAAGAGCTGAGGCACCTCTTATGGATCATTTATTTTGGTGGTGGCCACCAGAAACCACCTCTGTTTCCTCAGAGGTTTTTTTTTTTAATTGTCATCAGTTGTTTTTCATTGGCTCTCTGTCAAATGTCAGTTTGGGTTTAGGTGTGTTTGCTATCATGACTTTATAATTTTATTTGGCTGTTCTTCAAAACCGCCAACAAAGCTGGCATCCAAACAGCACATTTTGTGTAAAAATATGAAAATTATGTTGCTAATGGAAGGGTTTAATTCACAAGTGTAATAATTTCTGTAATACAGTGTGGTTTCCTCTCTATTTCCTTAGAAAACTTGTGTAAAAAATGAAAGTGATTGGAGGTGGTGCAGTGCAGATGATGTTAATCCCCCTCCAGATTTGCCCGCTCCATCTTTCCTCACTATCCCACCACCAGTGAATGACTTCAGTGCCCCTTCACAACCTCCAACAGCAGAGAACACAGAGAAATCTGTCACACCAGCCATCAGTGATCAAGAGAATCATGCATTTTCATCTGATCAGGAGAGTGTGTCAGTATGTGACGCACAAACTGCTCAGCAGCACCACCTAGAAGACAAAGTCAATTGCATTGAGGGTCGTGAATTGTCAGACAAACAGAGTGACAAATTTGACCAAGTGGGGAAAGCCTCAGAAAAAGTTAGAGGAAGATCTGGAGCATTGGATGTGGAATCTGGAGCAGGGAAGCCGGCAAAAACAGGTGCAAGAGGATCTGGCTCATGGTTAAGAAAAATATCTGAAGCAGAAGGATCAGTATCAGGCATGGGAATAAAACAAGGAGCAGGTGGATCTGGATCAGGGCAGAGAACAAAATCTGGAGCAGGTCAGCGAGCAAAATCAGGAGTGGGATTGGATGCAGAATCTGGAACAGGGAAGGGAGTAAAAACAGTTGCAGGAGGATCTGGATCATGGCTAAGAACAATATCTGAAGCATCAGGCCTGGGGACAAAACAAGGAGCAGGTGGATCTGGATCAGAGCAGAGAGCAAAATCAGGGATAGGAGAATTTGAATCAGGGCTGGGAACAAATTTAAGAGCAAGTGGATCTGGATTGGGGCAGGGAACAAAATCAGGGTCAGAAGGATCTGGATCGAACTTCAGAATAAAATCTGTAGCAGATGGATCTGGAGAAGCATCTGGATCAGGACTGGGAAGAAAATCAGAAGCAGAAGGATCTAGAGCAGCATCTGGATCAAGACTGGGAACAAAATCAGGAGCAGAAGGATCTAGAGCAGCATCTGGATGACATTTTCCATGAAATGGGTCCACTTTGGCGTCTCCACCAAAACGTAATTGATTCTGTTCATTGTATTAAAACCTTTTTTTATTAACCGCACATAATATTTAGCTATATCCCACATTTAAATTTTAAGTGTCTTTTGTTATTTTATGTTTTATTTTAAAACATGTATCTGTTAATTACTTTTTTATTTTATTAAAAAAAATAAAATAAATAAATAATAA